TGTGTGTGTGTGTGTGTTTGTTCGAGCTGCCGAGGTGGTGCAGGGGTGCAGGTTGAGGAAAGGCCCAACTGCGCAGGCCTGGGCAAATCCGCTCGGTCTAGGTTCTGGCAAAGCCGCTTGGCTGGACTGTGCAGACCACCCAGCGGAGCTGACACGCAGATCCGCCGCAGCCACTGAGGACTCGGGGAGGCAGGAGCTGGGCTGCGCCAGCAAGATCGAACACGTTGCAGCGTAGAGCGCCAAGGCTTGCTACGGTGAAAATGATCTGGGGGCCTTGCTCGGTGCGGGCTTTACTCGAGCTCGTCCGGCCGCGTTGCCAAGGCATCTACGGGAGTGCTGTCAAGAGGTAATCGTGGAAGGTAATCCTTTCAGAACGGGGGGCCTAAGTGCAAGTGGACTGCGTAGACACAGGGGGCCCACTACGCATGCGAACATTCGCGCGCAAGCTGCCCGCTTTCTGTGGCACGTCAGCGCCCTCTGGAAGCTCTCTGGGCCGTGGCCTGGGCTCGGATCATCTTGCAGCTGTCTTGGAGCGGTCTTGGGCTGTCTTGGGGCTACGAATGAGGAGCGCAGACGAGCAAAACGGTGGGAGTGTGCTTTTTGTACCGCGTGTCTTCGATGAAGGGGGGCAGCTAATCGATTACCGGAGAAACCCTAGCAGACAACTGATTGGCACCTTGACACGCCCCAGCGTGATGAAGGCATGGTGGCTAATATGTGTGTTGGAATCCAGCCCATGCGATAGCACTGCATACTCCCCAGAGAGAAGGCAGTGGTCCAACCAATATGGGAGGAATTTATTTCCGGGGCCTCCTAGACCATTTCATCGGACATCATTTGTGTAAGCACGAGTGCGGAAAGAGCGTTTTCGTTCTTCATGAGCTCGTTGTTGATTATGAGCTGTTGGGTACCTCCGACGGCGACTCGGTCCCCGAGAGATCTAATGTCATACCTTCCACGTGCTCTCACTGCTTGCCGCCTTCCCTTTGCCCCTTCCCACCTGCCTGCCTGCTTCGTTCCGCCAACTCTGCCCTCTCGCCTGCGCATATCGGAAGGCCCGCCTCCTGGCGATGTAGAGGACGGAGGAGGCTCCGGGGAGGGGGAGAATGAGGAGGATGAGAAGGAAGTCTCCACGGGTTCCATAATTCCTCAGAGGCCCCAGAAGCCTCCAGATCTCAAAGACATGCTTTATGTCTGTTTACACACACATACATCGATACAACGTCAGAGAGGGAGGAGGGAGGGAGTGAGGGACCAGCGGAAGGGAGGGAGGAAGGAACCGTCTCTTCCGTCCCCCCTTCTTGTTCCTCCCCCTTCGCCCAGCGTCCACATCCGCCGCGCAAGATGGACCGAGCCGAGGGCCGAGGGCCCTTGGGCAGGTCCGGCCCAGGCAGGGGTTGGCGAGACCGAGGACATCACACCCGAAACCCGGACTTACCCCTGGCATCGCTCGGACGTGTGCATCTTCTTTCTCGGCGAGGACCTTCGAGAAGCATCCTCGACCATTTGGCGAAAAACCACGCACGAAACCGAAAAAAACACAGTGAATGGACGTCCGAGCGATGGCCACCCATATGGCGACGGAGGCGGACACCCACACGGGTGCCCCTGAGCCGACATCGAGGGAGGAAGGGAAGGAGAGATGGGTCGTGACGGCGCCAGAGAGAGGGGAATCGGGCCGACCTTCGCCGGAGAGCGAGGAGCTGAGCGGACGTACGTGCCCTTCCCCACTGCCCGCCAGGTAAGAAGGTGCGAGGAGGAGGAGGAGGAGGAGGAGGAGGAGGAGGAGGAGGAGGAGGAGGAGGAGGAGGGAGGAGGAGGAGGAGGAGGAGGAGGAGGAGGAGGAGGAGGAGGAGGAGGGGAGGAGGAGGAGGAGGAGGAGGAGGAGGGAGGAGGAGGAGGAGGAGGAGGAGGAGGAGGAGGAGGAGGAGGAGGAGGGAGGAGGAGGAGGAGGAGGAGGAGGAGGGAGGAGGAGGAGGAGGAGGAGGAGGAGGAGGAGGGAGGAGGAGGAGGAGGAGGACGGGGAGGAGGAGGAGGAGGAGGAGGAGGACGGGGAGGAGGAGGAGGAGGAGGAGGAGGAGGAGGGGAGGCGGAGGAGGAGGAGGAGGAGGAGGAGGAGGAGGAGCAGGAGGAGCTGGAGCAGGAGGAGAAGGAGGAGCAGGACCCTGGTGAACCACAGACGCATCCGCGGTGTTGCAATATACCTTCCTGCCAAGTTCCCCCTTCATACGTCGGTGTTTTGCTTAATTGCGGGAAGTGCCCATGAGCAGACGACCGTCTGAGAATCCCCAACCGTACCATAGCACAATTTCTGGGACATCAGCGCCGCAAAGCAACGTGACAGTTGCGTCCTAACAATCCTTCATTGTACCAGGACGCCACTCCTGGGGCTTCAACACCGCGGTTCACCGTGACTGTTGCGTCGTGATTTTTGTAGACCGTACCAGAACGCCGCTCTTGGTACTTCACCCAGGCGATAACAGCATGTTGAAACGTAGCCGTCCTCCATCATTGAAGCTCATGCAGCATGTCAAGACCGAATGTGCGAAGCGCTGAGGCGAGAGCCACATGTTGGAAACGGAGCGCCCTCCATCCTTGAACCGGTTGCACATATCAGGCATCGGGGGCGCACATATTGAGGACGTTCCAGGCGAAACACTTGGTCCGCCCCACCGACACGTCTGGGCGTACGACACGGAAACGTTGTGCAAAAGGAAGAAGGATGGAGGGGGAAGTTGAGGGCACATGGAGGAGGAGGGAGGGACGGAGGATAGGGAGGTAGGGAGGGAGGAGGAGAGGGATGCGGGTAGGGAGGGAATGAGGGAGGGAGGGAGGGAGGGAGAGAGAGAGAGAGAAAGAAAGAAAGAACGAGAGAGCGAGAGAGGGGGGGGAGAGAGAGAGAGAGAGATAAACATCTAGATTGAACGTGAGAGCGAGAGAGGACCACACAGAAAGACATCTATAAGATGAGGAGGACAAGGAGGATGAAACTATGAAGGAGGAGGAGGAGGAGGAGGAGGAGGAGGGGGAGAGAGAGAGAGAGAGAGAGGAGAGAGAGAGAGAGAGAGAGAGAAGCTTGAACGCTGCGAGCTTCGTCGCTCATAGTGTGGCCAGGAGATAAGGAGCAGGGAGGAGGGATCGGGGTTAATGGTCAAGGAGGAGAAGGAGGAGGAGGAGGAGGAGGAGGAGGAGGAGGAGGAGGAGGAGGAGGAGGGGGTGGACGAGAAGTAGGAGGAGCGGAAGAGGGAGCAGGAAGTGGACGAGGAAGAGAAGGAGGAGGAGAGAGGAGGAGGAGAAGGAGGAGGAGAGGAGGAAGAAGAGGAGGAGGAGAGGAGCAGGGTGGAGGAGGGAGGAGGGAGGATGGAGGAAGGAGGGGGGAGGGAGGAGGGAGGAGAGGGTGGAGGAGGGAGAAAGGGAGGAGGGCGGAAGGAGGGAGGAGGGAGAGGGAGGAGGGAGGAGGAGGAGGAGGAGGGAGGAGGAGGAGGAGGGAGGAGGAGGGGGAGGAGAGGAGGAGGGAGGAGGGAGGGGGAGAGAGGAAGGAGGAGGGAGGTGGGAGGAGGGAAGGGGGAAGGAGGGAGGAGGGAGGGGGGAGGAGGGGGTGGAGGAAGAGACAGGAGGAGGAGGAGGAGGAGGAGGAGGAGGAGGAGGAGGAGGAGGAGGAGGAGGAGGAGGAGGAGGGAGGAGGGAGGGGGAGGAGGGGGGGGAGGAGGAGGAGGAGGAGGAGGAGGAGGAGGAGGAGCGAGGAGCAAGGAGCGAGGAGCAAGGAGCGAGCGAGCGAGGAGCGAGGAGCGAGGAGCGAGGAGCGAGGAGCGAGAGCGAGGAGAGGAGGAGCGAGGAGGGAGGAGGGGGGAGGAGGAGCGACTAGGAAGGAGTAGGAGGAGGACGTCCTGCCAGGGGCCGTCTGGCTCCTGGCCGCGCACCCGCGGGCGGCCGCGGCTCGGCGCGGGGGGCGGCTCGGGCCCTTGCCGCCGCGGCCGCCCGCGGGCGTCTCACGGGCTGCACCCCCCTCGGGGGCCTGCGGCTGGCGGCCGCCCGGGCGGCGGGCCGGCGGCGGGCGCCGCAGCTCTGCTCCGCCCAGGGATCCAACGCACTGAAGAACATCAGGACGCGTGTTGACGAAATCAGGGCGTAATGAGAGTTATGGAAGACTCAAGACGGCGGTCTTTCGCCCGTTTCGGCCTCTGCAGTCTGGAGGCCATCGCCGGGCCCCAGGACTGTCAAAAAGCGACGCAGGCTAAGAAGCCGGCCATGGGGGAAGGGGTCGGGACTCCCAGGGACCCCGCATTGAAAAAATCACGACGTCCGATCTCTGGGCGTCTAGGTGTTGCCCCTCGCCAGAGTGACCTCTGTTTCGACTGCACGTAAGAGTGACCCTTCGCCAGAGTGTCCGTTGGTGCGGGCCCACTGGGGTCATCCGATCGCCGAACGCGAGGCGGCCGTGGCGTCTTGCGCCCTTGTGTTTGGCCTCCCCCGGGGCCCCGCAATAGCCGCGCATCAACAGTCACTCTTCCAGAGGGTCACTCTTGCGTGTAGCTGAAGGAAGGCTGAAGTCATGTGGGCTCGAAGAGCCAGCCCAGCTTCGCCAAAGCGCAACAAGAATCGTCATCGTCCTTGTCATAAGGGCCCCAGCAGGTCAGGGCAACGACAGGGGGCAGGAGAATAGGGGGACGCATCGACCCACAATCGTCCACAGATCTCCGATAAGGGGTATGATAGCCCCACCCAGCCCAAGCAAGTGCGGATTTTCTATCGGCGGCCTGTCGCCAACCTCTCGGCGATGTACCGCCGATTCCAGGTCGATGTTCCCCCGCCTTGTGCCGGCCCTGCCCCCCCCCCATATCGCTGCCCTTCGGCAGTGGCCTGCGCGCTGAGATTTGGCCCCCCCCCCCCTGCGGCCCCCCGAGAGCCGCGCACCAGAGGTCGCTCTCGCCCGGGGCCGCCCTCACAGTGTGGCCGAGCAGGGCGGGCGCGGGCGTGCGGGCGGGCGCCGGCGCCTGGCCATGCGGGCTGCGGCGGGGGGCGCGGCGCCCGGCCTGGTGGCGGCGCCGGAGGACCGGGGCCCGGGGTGCACCGATGCGCCTGGCCAGTCCCGGCGGGGCCGAGCCTGGGCCGGAGACCGGTGCACGCGCCCTGCCGCCCAGAGGGGGGCGTGCGCACCGAGCCTGGCGCCAGGGGCGGGCGGGGCCAGGATCGGTGCAGGTCGGCCGCACGCAGGAGTGACCCTTCGCCAGGGTGGCCTTTGGTGCGCGGCGTTGCGGGGGCGTGGGAGGGCCAAGCCCAGGTGCGCAGGCCGTCGTCGTCGCGCCGCATGCAAGGATCTGCGAGGTGAGCACCACAGGTCACTCCTGCCTAGGGTCACTCTTTGCGTGTAGCCGAGAGTTGGCGTCCTCCTCATGAAGCCAGGGCGGTGCAGGCCAGGATTGTGCCAGTTCCAGCTGCACGGCCCCAGAAGCCAGGCCTCACGAGTGGCGTCCGAGCAGGTGGGGTCGGAGGGTCGCGCCGCATCGGATGCATCAGCGATGCGGATGGCTGTGAAGCCCGATCTTCTCCGCGCCGACATCGCCGATGCATCGCCGACGTCGCCGACGTTTCCCCTATGCATCACCGGTGCACGGGCGCTGCGGCGCGATCCTCCGACCCCATCTATTCGGATCCCATGTGAGAGTACCGGGGCGCTGCAGACCAGGAATTTGCAATATCCAGCGGGAGAGAGGGCCCCAGAGATGCTCGCAACGTGGCACAACTTCTGGAGGGGGGGCCGTTTGGCCGCTTTCGGTCTCCAGGGGCCCTCGCCGGGCCCCCGGGGCTGTCAAAAAACGGCTGGTGATGAGAGGCGGGCCCTGTGGAAAGGGTCGGGACTTCCGGAGACCCGTGTTAAGAGAATCTTGGGCGTCGCGCAACGGGGGGGGCGATAATGGGGGGGCAGCGGGCGCTGCAGTGAAGGGGCCCTTTAGGACCCAGCAGGGGGGCCTGTAAGGCCCGAAAAGTGCACCTCTCTTCGCCCCCATCTATCTCGCCCCATGAAGCGACGCCCAAGAATGAAACCGTCCGATGAGACCCCGTATGCAAAGAATCAAATCAACCGATGTCAGGGATATCTTGGCCCATAGCTGCAGTTTTCTTGCGCGCGCCAAAAAGAATCCGAGTTTGCCAAAGTTCCCGTCTACACGGGGCTCTGGAGGAGGCCGCGGCGGCGACGCCGAAGGAGATCACAGGGCGCAGCAGGTTCGGGCCCCCCCCCCTCGGAGTGGAGAAGGTCATGGCGGAGGGTTCTTGGGATTTCGGCCTCCCGGTTGCCCGCGCTGGCCGTCCAGAAATGAGTCGGAATGAAGGCCGCTCCGGGGAAGGGGGCCATAGACCTCGTCCGCGGTTTTCAAAGTCAGAGGCGTCCAGAGGTCCGGGGGTCGGGATAGGCGCTGGGGGCGGGGCCATCGACCTCTGATCGCCCATCCCTCGCAGATCGGAGCCTGGGTGTCCCACCTTGCCCTTGGAGCGCGCGGCTTGGTCGTTCGGGGCCCTGTCGCTGCCCATCGGGCATGCATCGCCCGTTCCGGGTCGATGTCTCCCCCCCATGCGCCAGTTCCCCCGCGGGCGAGAGAGGGTGCAAAGCTGGTTTCCCCGCCATCCAGGACGACTTTCGCAGGGCGGCTGGGAAGTTGATGCCCCACGGTGGCGCGTCGGAGTACGCGCAAGCTTTCTCCAGCCGCCGTGGGACAGGCGCACCCCCATGGGCGGAGCAGCTGGTCCAACGCGTTTCTTGTCTGCAAGCGCTCGCCCCCCCCCAGGAGAACGGGGTGTGCCTGGCCGTGATGCCGTCGGGCAGGGCGGGCCTGATGTGCGCCAACCCGAGCTGCTGGCGCCCTGGGGGGGGAGGCGGGCGTCGGCGACGAGGTCCGGGCCCTGGGCGGAACGAGCCCGCAGCGGAGCAAGGCGCGCGTTTTGTGTGCAGTCTCGGCCGCCAGTTGGGGGGGGGTATGATGGGGGGGTCAGTTTCCCGGAGTATCGGATCGAGACTCTTCCGGGGCGGAGCCCGCTTGCGCGCAGCTTCTGTGTTGCATTACATGTGGTGGAGCTTTTGGACTAGAACTTGTGTGGTGCAGCATGTGTAGTGCAATATGCGTGGTGCAATCTATGTGGCACGGTCTCCTGCCGAACGTGAACTTTTCAGCGCAATCACCCCACCCACCCACCCGCACTTTGGTTTGCAAGACCCATGCGGCGGCGATTGCTATGACTGTTCGGCGTTGGCTGGCGCATCGCTGCGGCCGCGCAATCGCGTGCAGGCTCTCGCGCAGAGCGACCAGCTAAACTGGCGCGACCGACGCGGCCGCGGTGGCGCTGAGCGCTGGGGACTTCCCAGCGCGTCTCGCAGACCGCGCTGACGCGCGGGCACTTCAGTGCGAGTCGGTGACTCGGGCGGGCGCTGTATGATGGGACGTCGACGACGGCCCACACGATGTCGGTTGTAACGAGTTGTTGACGTCAATGACTGCGTCAAGGCCAATGACGGCGCCGATGCTGATCACGCCGATGACTGTGATGGTGTCCACGTGACGGCGATGCAGTTTGTGGAAGGATTTCGTCATGCGCGCGCGGCCGACGGGCGCGAGTGCCCCGCGTGGTATTGCCACAGGGGTCGGGGCCGCCCAGCACGCGCGCGACGATCTTCGACAAATTCCGACATTCTTGCGCGAGAAGCCCGCTCGGTCGCATTGGATGATCATGTTGGAACCCGATCGTTTTCGTAAGAAATCACAAGAGCGCGCGCGCCCAACTGGTTGGCAAGTCTCACCTGGCCATTACCTCAACGAGCGGATGACGTGTGGAGCTCATTTGCGTTGACAAGTCCTTCCTGCAGGTCGCGAAGTGGTGGCGGTGGCGATTGTGACGGCCCCGACGCCAACGACGATTGAGATGGCAGTGGTGATGACTCTGACGCCGATGGCGCTGACAATGGAGATGGGGACGGCGACGGCGACAATGTTGATGTTGATAAAGGTGGTGGTGATGATCATGATGGTGGCAACGATGACGCTGGCGATGCTGATGGCGATGATGGTGGTGATGCTGATGATGATGCTGATGATGATGATGATGATGATGATGATGATGGTGATGATGGGGTGGAAGTGCCCGCGCGCAGGGAATTGACAATGGGGGCATACGGTGAGGATAGCGTCGGCGGCAATGATCCCGACGATGGTGACGATGATCAGGATGTTGATGACGATGACGATGGCGATGGTGACGTTGATACTGGTAATTGTGATGATGCCGATAATGCGGGTGACGAGGTTGATGCTGATGATGATGATGATGATGATGTGGATGATGATGATGCTGTTGACGATGATGATGATGATGATGATGATGATGATGACGATGATGATGATGATGATGATGATGATGATGATGATGATGATGATGATGCTGATGATGATGATGATGGTGGTGATGGCGGGTGCTCTGATGAGGGTGATGAGAAAACGCCCGCCCGCTGGCATCATATACCTTGGCGTTATTTTGTTTCACCAATGACCTCTTGTATGTGCTTGGGCACACATGTGTTGAAAGCGTTAACCACAATTACTGTTTGCGGGGATGTCGGCGTGTGCGCGTGCGGAAACGCGCGCGTGCGGCCCGCGTGGTCGCAGTTGGCAGCGCTGGTGGGCGCGGCTTGGGCCTCCAGGGGCGGAAGCACGAACGTGATTCATGGTTGGTTGACGGGGGGTGATTTGACAATGCATTGCGGAATCGCGGTCGCGCTTGCGACTTCGTCGCAATTTACCACCGAACCGCTTCGCTGGATTTTCCTCACCACTTAGTCAGATGGGGGGGGATTCCCGAATCAGGGCCCAGCGAAACCATTCCCCCCCCTGTGGGGCGACTGCGCCCCCCGCCCCACCCAGCTTCGCGCGCTGGTCGCGCCCTGCGCGGCGGCGCGCTCTGCAAGGCGTGCGCCTGCTGTCCTGCTTCTGTGCCCCCAGCTCCGCCCCTTCAGGGAACGACGCCTGCATCCAGTTTCGCTAACCCCCGTCCTCGGCGCGGCGCCTCGCGCGCGGCGCGCGAGCGCGCCGAAGGGCGGCGCGCCTTCACTTTGATGGTTTCGTTTCGTCCAGCCTGGCCCCGTAACTCTCCGAACGCGTTCCACTGCTCGCAAAGCGTCTACCTGCACATGTCAGAGAAAACAGCACGTGTTTGCCTCGGTGTGAGGTGGGCCGCAAGTTCGGATTCGGACAACTGGCGGGTAGTTACTCTGCGAGGACTCGAATGCGTTTGTCACCACCCACCAAACCACCCCAACCCAACCCGAATGCTACAATTTGCCCTCCATTTCCAGTGGGGGGGGGCGGGGGACACTGCAAAACACATGGAACCCGTACCCCCCCCAACCCGAATTCAAATTCGGGTCTTCGGGCTGGGCTGGGGAGGTCTGGTAGGTAGTCAACTTGTCGACTAAGAGGCCACGTCTTGTTGTCCCCTCTCCTCCCCGCTGCTCTGCGCTCCTCGCGGAGCTCGCCCCGTGCGCCGCACAGGGGCACTGGGGTCGATTCGTCTCTGTTTCCCCCTCCCCCGTCCCATGAGCAGGATCGACATCTCTGCTGTTGTCCCACCGTTTTGGAGGTCGTCATCCCATCATAGCAGAGTGGTGGGCCGCGCATAACAGCAAATATCGTCCACGTCTTGAGTCAGTTACTGCACCGCATTCCTTTCATCCCATGAGCAGGATCAACATCTCTGTTGTTGTCCCACCGTTTTTGGAGGTCGTCGTTCTTGTTGTCGTCGCTGTCATCAGTGCCGTCGTCGGTGTCGTCGTCGTTGTCGTCAGTGTCGTCGGTGTCGTCAGTGTCGTCGTCGTCGTCGTCGTCGTCGTTATCGTCGTCGTCGTCGTGGCCGTCGTCATCCTCGTCGTCATCGTCGCCGTCGCCGCCGTCGTCGTCGTCGTCGTCGTCGTCGTCATCATCGTCGTCGTCAGGGGCTGGGCGTTTTTAAACCCCACTCTGCCCTGCACAGGGCGGGATATCCGACCACCTCCCCTCTGGCAGGGGGTAGGGGGAGCGGTTGGAATGTGGATGCAGAGGGCGGCGTTCCGGGCGAGTCGGAGTCGGGGGGGTGACTTTTGGGGGTGGGGGGTTGTGAAACGTAGCCCGCTTTTTGTTCAGGCTAATCGGCCATGAAACGCCGTGTCCTCCGAAATCGCAATTATGTAAAGGTCTCCTACCGGTTTTCGCCATCATCGGCCTCTCGGAGCCGTTCCCTGGCCCCAAATTCGTCAAAGCCAGCTCATGGATCAGGCTGCTAAGATGGTCCTGGAGCACAGCCAACCAGCAGAAGAAGGATGAATGACTTCCCAAGGTTATCCTTGCATCTTTCCCCTTCGGCCCATCCTTGGCCGCTTTCGAGGGCCGCGCCCCGCCAGCAAAGTGTCGACATGGCCTTCCAAGGCCCTTGCATTCTTACCGTGCGTTCTTTATTGCACGGGTTGACTGTAGGCCTCAGGCGGTCCAGGTCATCCATCAGGACCCTCTTTCTCCATGCAGGAGGAGCGGGGCGAGGGACCTAGCCCAGGGGGGAAGCCTCGGGACTCGAGTCGCCCGTTCAGTACCAAGGGAGGCGTGGGTGCCCCGTCGTGCTCAGGAACCTGCCCTCTGGCTATCGGTGGCCAGTCGGGGATGCGCCGACCATTTCTAGGGAGATGTCTGCTGCCCCCCTCTGCCCGTCTTGACTTTTCCCTCAGGTACTTGGTCCACCCGGACCCCTCGTTCGGCGGCTATTGCTGCAAGAAGTGCCACTGGCACGGGAAGGCCAAGAGGTCGGGCAGGGCGAAAAAGCACGGAGCGCAGTGCATCAAGCAGGACGCCCCCGAGGGTGCGCCGCGCGCGCCGCCCGTGACACCGGACAAGCCGCTCAAGGACGCGGACCCTGGCGATTTCGAGTCGGGGGGCGGCCCCGGCGCGGACGTCGAGTTCAGCAGCCCAGCGCGCACGGGGCACGGCCCCACCGGGTTCGGCGACGTGGCCGTCGACAGTGCGCCTATGGGCCCCGTGGGCTGCGAGGTACGCGTGTGCGGCCTGGTGCGGCAGTGCAAGCCAGCCCTGATCCGACGACGCGGGCTCGATCGGGTCGGCGAGCCACTGGTCGGTCGAGGTCGGAGCGGTCCGTCAGAGCTTTGATCGGTCGGAGCGGTCTCTTTTCGGATCGGTCGGGTTTTGACCGGTCGGTCGTCGGCGTTCCACTGATCGGCCACAGCGGCCCATCGGTCGAGGGCGGGGCGGTGCAGTGGCGCAGTGCTCCACATCTTGGAGTGGATCTGCATGGCTGGGGGGCATCAGGGCCGAGATCACAGCAGGCATCAGGCCGGGTCGGCGAGGTGCCTCTGAGGTGAAGCACCGGTTTTTCAACGGGCTCACCGCGCGGGTGGAGCAAGAGACCGCGGATGGGCGCTTCGACCTCCTGCTGGCCGATGGCACGCGGCTGCGCTGGATCAAGGAGGAGAACTTCCAAGGTCTCTAGGCCAGGCCTCCTATGTGGGGTCCGACTAGATGGGGTTGGTGGATCGCGCCGTGAGGTTGGTGAATCGCGCCGCATCGCCGATGCATCGGGCAGGCAGCGTGACGTGGAGCCCGACTTTCCCCAGGCAGGCGTCGCCGATGCATCGCCGACGTCGCCGATGCATCGGCGATGCATCGGCGATGCGGCGCGATCCTCCGACCCCATCTGATCGGATCCCCATTGGTGGGAGGCCTTTAAGGTCTCAGGGGGGGGGCTTGCTGTCTCCCGTCCCCGGAGGGCCGGCCCTGGCATATCCTTGCTGCGCTGTCGCCGCTCGTCTCGATTCGGCCCTGGCCCGAGCTGTCCCCCCGCGCTGTTTGCTTGCGCCGTCGCAGGTATACCACTCGGTTCGGCCTTGTCTCCTGCTGCCTGGGCGCGCAGGCGCCGAATTCCTGGGTCTGGCGGCCCTGTCCCTGACTATCCGCGCACTGCTGCTTCCGTGTGCCGTCGCCGCGTTCCTTGGTTCATCCGCGTCCTCGCGTGCACTCGGCCCTGGCGCTCTCGCAGCTGTCGCTGGTGCCTCCTCAGACTGTGCCCGTCGCCTTGCGTTGACCTGAGTCCCCTGACCCTGCTTCCGTGCCCTGCCCTGTGCCGCCCCCAAGCTCTTCAGCTCGGCCATGCTTGAGGCCGTCCCCGCCTCCTTTAAGAGACCTCTTGGGGGTCGTCTGGGGGGCTCTCGTCGGTGCCAGGGGCCTCCCCAGGGGGCGCGATGGCGGAAGGGCCGCTCTGAGGAGGTCCATTGCTGAAGTCGGCCGCGCGCAGAAGGGGGTAGGGGGAGCGGGGAAGGCTGCTTAGAAGCACCCCTGCTTCTCAGGAGGCGAGGGCCTTGTCTGTAGATGGAGGGCCCGCTTCTTCTAAGAGGCCGCCTCCTTCTAAGCAGCCCCCCTCCCCCTTGCCCCCTTTGCGCGCGCCTCCAGTGAAGGGGGCATCAACTCGTCAAATCAGGTCCAGCTGGCAGCCAGGGGCCGGAGCCCCTCGCGGTGCCGGTGAGCGGGGGCACCGACGCGGGCGAAGCTGCTCCTCTGCCGCCCCAGCCGCCGCTGGGGCTGCCGCCGGGGCCTGCCTGACGTGGCACGCCCGTTTCACTTCCTGGCGACGGGTCCTGCTCCCTGCCAGATCTTGATGACGTCATCGGACGGGGCGCGCTCCGGATTGCTCACTGAGCGTTCCGGAACGCTCTGACAAGGCCGCGGCGCCCGAGACATCCTCCAGAGCCTCCGGATCGCAATGGTGCAATGGTTCTCGATTCATCTCCACCCGATCCTTGTCCTGGCTTCGTCTTGCGTCATGTCCCGCGCAGCTTGCAGAAAGCTGGAGCCGAGGTCGGGCAGCGCATGGCCGCCGGGCGCGCCAGACCAGCAGGCGGGCGCGGGGCGGTCAGTGGCAGTTTGCGGCCTGGCGAGCTTACGGAATCCCGTGGCTCTTGCTGCCTCGAGTCCTGGCGCCAGCAGCCCACAGACGCAAACGAAAGGAGTGCGAAGTTTGAGAGAAACATGTACGCGCCAGTCGTTGAGAGTAGGTGTTTTTGGATTCCCGGATCCCAACCTATGTCAAGCGCCTTCCTAGTTCAAGGATCGGCATGCTTTTGCTGTGTTTTGTTATTCTCTTGGGGGGGCCTGGACCCAATCAACTTAATCCGCCTTCCTACTTCATGTTTTTACCTACTTCTTCCGACCGACGTGTATGAGTGTTGATCGGGTGGCGCTCACGGTCTCTTTGCGGTATCATGTTTCACGTGGTGATGCAATCCACGCTATTATGATCTATGCCAGTTGCATTCCTTCCCCCCGAAAATGACACGGCTGCGTAAACCTCATTGCAGTCGCTGCCATCCCTTCGGTCCACCGGAGGTTCTCGAATGAATTTGCCCAGTGTGAAGATGCTCTTTGCCCAGCTTCTGCGGGATGCCTTCCCGCAAGGGTGAGTGAGCTGGCCTTCGAAGCCGCTGTCGTCTCACGTGTGATCGTTATTTGGGCTCATCGGTGGCAGGTCAACGCCCTGCACCAGTGAAAGAGCACAACCCCGAGCCTGGATATAGCAAAAAATAATGAAAACGTATCCTTCATTGTCTACTGTCCAGTATCTCTTGCTTGGCTTTGCTGCGGTCCGCCATGCACGTACACTATTCATCGAGCGGGCGGAGATGATGTGTTTAAATTTGGCTGGAAGGGGGAGCAGCAGCAGCAACAGCAAGAGGAGAGGCATAATGATGATGATGATGATGATGCTGATGATGATGATGCTGATGCTGATGCTGATGATGATGATGATGATGCAGATTATGATGATTCTGATGATGCTGCTGATGATGCTGATGGTGTGGTGGTGACGATGCAGGTGAAGATGACGATGACGAGGATGCTGATGCTGATGCTGATGATGATTGTGATAATGATCATGATGATGATGCTGATGCGGCTGCTGATACTGATGCTGATGTTGATGTTGATATTGATGCTGCTGATGATACTGATAATGATGATGCTGATGATGATGATGATTATGATGATGATGGTGATGGTGGTGGTGATGATGATGATGATGATGCTGATGATGATGATGATGATGATGATGATGATGATGATGGTGCTGCTACTGCTGATGATGACGACGATGATGATGAAGAAGAGGAGGAGGAGGAGAAGGGTGAGGAGGACGAAGAAGAGCAGCAGGAGCAGGAGGAGGAGGAGGAGTAGGAGGAAGAAGACGGGGAGGCCCATGCAGCCGCGGCCGCCTCTCGGGCTGGGGTCGCAGTTTCGACTGGGACAGCCAGGCGGCTCATCTTGAGGCAGAGGCGATAGGGCCAGGAGGAGAGATTCGCGCGCGCGCGTGTGTGTGTGTGCATGCGTGTGTGTGTGTGTGTGTGTGTGTGTGTGTGTGTGTGTGTGTGTGCGTGCGTGCGTGCGTGCGTGCGTGCGTGCGTGCGTGCGTGCGTGCGTGCGTGCGTGCGTGCGTGCGTGCGTGCGTGTATATGTCTGTGTGTGCATGCGTGTGTGTGTGTGTGTGTTGTGTGTGTGCGTCGACTTGACGCGCGTCGCAGCGACGCCCCGAGCTTTGCGAGTACATGCACAGGGCAGGCTTCTAGCTGCTCTTGCGCACCAGCAGCCGCGGACCAGCTCCGTGCCCGACTGCACGTCCCTCCCTGCTGGCCGATCGCGCCCGCAGCACGTCCCCGGCGACGTCAAGGCAGAATTGCCCTCCGCCCACCGGCTCGGTGTCTCCACCCGCTCCAGGTGTTTCTGCTGCACGTGCGCTCGCCCTTGCGCAGCCGCCAGCCCGCTACGCCGTGCGGTGTTCGGCTCGGCCGCTGGAGGCAACAGGTGTGTGTGTGTGTGCGTGAGTGTGTGCGTGTGCGTGCGTTGTGTGTGTGTGTGTTGTGTGTGTGGTGTGTGATGTGTGTGTTGTGTGTGTTGTGTGTGTGTTGTGTATGCGTTGTGTGTGTTGTGTGTGTTGTGTGTGTTGTGTGTGTTGAGTGTTGTGTGTTGTGTGTTGTGTGTGTTGTGTATGCGTTGTGTGTGTTGTGTGTGTCGTGTGTGTGTTGTGTGGGTTGTGTGTTGTGTGCGTTGTGTGTGTTGTGTGTGCTGTGTGTGTTGTGTGTGCTGTGTGTTGTGTGTGTTCTGTGTGTGTTGTGTGTTGTGTGTGTTGTGTGTGTGTGTCGTGTGCTGTGTGTGTTATGTGCGTTGTGTGTTGTGTGTGTTGGGTGCGTTGTGTGTTACGTGTTGTGTGTTGTGTGTGTTGTGTGTTGTGTGTGTTGTGTGTGTTGTGTGTTGTGTGTGTTGCGTGTGTTGCGTGTGTTGTGTGTGTTGTGTGTGTTGTGTGTTGTGTGTGTTGTGGATGTGTTGTGTTTGTTTGTGTGTGTGTTGTGTGTTGTCTGTGTTGTGTGTGTTGTGTGCGTTGTGTGTTGTGTGTGTTGTATGCGTTGTGTGTGTGTTGTGTGTTGTGGTTGTGTGTGGTGTGTGCGTTGTTTGTGTGTGCGTTTTTTGTGTTGTGTGTGCGTTGTGTGTGCTGTGTGTCGTACGTGTTGTGTATTGTGTGTTGAGTGTTGTGTGGCGTGTGTTGCGTGTGTTGTGTGTTGTGTGTGTTGTGTCTGTGGTGTGTGTGGGGTGTGTGCGTTGTGGTTGTTGTGTGTGTTGTGTGTTGTGTGTTGTGTGTGTGTGTGCTGTGTGTTGTGTGTGTTGTGTGTGCTGTGTGTGTTGTGTGTGTTGTGTGTTGTGTGTTGTGTGTGTTGTGTGTTGTGTGTGTGTTGTGGGTTGTGTTGTGTGTGGTGTGTGTTTTGTGTGTGTGTGTGTTATGTGTGTGTTGTGTGTTGTGTGTTGTGTGTGTGTTGTGTGTTGTGTGCGTTGTCTTTTGTGTGTGTTGTGTGTGTGTGTGTTGTGTGTTGTGTGTGTTGTGTGTGTTGTGTGTTGTGTGCGGTGTGTGTGTGGTGTCTGTTGTGTGTTGTGTGTTGTGTGTGTGTTGTGTGTTGAATGTTGCGTGTTGTGTGTGTGTTGTCTGTTGTGTGTGGTGTGTGTATTGTGTGTTGTCAGAGTGTGTTTTGTGTGGTGTGTGTGTTGTGGTTGTTGTGTTGTGTGTGTTGTGTGTGTGTGTGTTGTGAGTGCGTGTGTTATGTGTGTCGTGTGGTTTGTTTTCTGTGTGTTGTGTGTTGTGTGTGTTGTGTGTGCTGTGTGTTTCGTGTGTGGTGTGTGTTGTGTGTGGTGCGTGTGTTCTGTGTGTTGTGTGTTTTGTGTGTGTTGTGTATGTGTTCTGTGTGTTCTGTGTGTTCTGTGTGTTGTGCGTTGTGTGTTTTGTGTGTTGTGTGTGTGTGTTGCGTGTGTGGTGTGTGTTGTGTGATTTGTGGTGTGCGTGTTGTGCGTGTGGTCTGTGTGGTGTGTGGTGTGTGCGTTATGTGTGTTGTGTGTTGTGTGTGTTGTGTGTTGTGTGTTGTGTGTTGTGTGTTGTGTGTTGTGTATTGTGTGAGGTGTGTGCGTTGTGTGTGTTGTGTGTTGTTTGTGATGTGTGTGTTGTGTGTTTTGTTTGTGTGTGTTGTATGTGTTGTATGTGTTGTTTGTGTGCGTTGTGTTGTGTGTGTTGTATTGTGTTGTATGTGCGTTGTGTGGGTTGTGTGTTGTGTGTCTGGTGTGTGTGTTGTGTGTGCGTTGTGTGTGATGTGGTTGTTGTGTGTGTTATGTGTTGTGTGTTGTGTGTGTGCTGTGTATGTTGTGTGTGTGTTGTGTGTGCTGTGTGTGTTGTGTGTTGTGTGCGTTGTGTGTGTGTTTCGTGGGTGTTGTGTGTTGCGTGTTGTGTGTGTTGTGTGTATTGTGTGTGTTGTGTGTTGTGTGCTGTGTGTCGTGTGTTGTAGGTGTTGTGTGTGGTGTGTGTTGTGTGTGTGTTGTGTGTTGTGTGCGTTGTGTGTGTGTTGTGTGTGTTGTGTGTTGTGTGTGTTGTTTGTGTTGTGCATTGGTTGTGTGTTTTGTGTGTGTGTTGTGCGTTGTGTGTTGTGTGTTGTGTGTTGCGTGTGTTGTCTGTTTTGTGTGTTGTGTGTTGTGTGTGTGTGTGTTGTGCATTGTGTGTGTTGTGTGTCGTGTGTGTTGTGTGTTGTGTGTGTTGTGTGTTGTGTGCGTTGTGTGCGTTGTGTGTGTGGTGTGTGTTGTGTGTTGTGTGGTGTGTGTGTGTGTTGTGTGTTTTGTGTGTTGTGTGTGTGTGTTGTGTGTTACGTGTTGTGTGTTGTCTGTGTGGTGTGTGTTGTGTGTTGTGTGTGTTGTGTGTTGTGTGTTTTGTGCGTGTTGTGTTTTGTGTGTGTTGTGTGGGTTGTGTGTTGTGTGCGTGTGCGTGTGCGTGTGCGTCTGCGTGTGCGTGTGTTGTGTGTGTGTGTGTTGCGTATGTTGTGTGCTGCGTGTGTTTTGTTTTGTGTGTGTTATGTGTGTTGCGTGTGCTGTGTGTGTTGTGTGTGTGTGTGTGTGTGTTGTGTGTGTTGTGTTTGTGTTGTGCGTGTTGTGTGTTGTGTGTTGTCTGGGTTGTGTGGGTTGTGTGGGTTGTGTGGGTTGTGTGTGGTGTGCGTGGTGTGCGTGGTGTGCGTGGTGTTCGTGGT